CTTTCTTCCCCCCCCCCCAAGGATATCTGGATAGATACTGGGGGGAATGTCCGCTACTTTTCTGTATTTTTTTTCTTAAATATTATGATGCTTTTGCTTTTGCAAATACAGAAGAAATCCCGGTAAGATTCAGGAGTGGTGCTACTGTATGACTCGCTATACAATGCTGCACGGATCATCGCTCTGTATCTCTATGATGAAAACTCGTAAACTTTAATATATTATACTAATTATTTAATATAATTAAATATATTATATTATAATTAATATAATATACTTAACTTGAAAAAATAAAAAGATGAATATGATTTGAACTCGTTCTCCTTTTTGTACTGGATAGAAAGATAAGGATAAGTTGAAATACCTGTATGTTGTGCGCTATACAAAAAGAGGAAAGCGAGCTGATCTATATATATTTGTTGTGTATTACATACGAAAACAAAGACAAACTAAAATATATATTTGTTATAAAATAAATTAAATCATGAAAATATGTTGAAATCAGTATTTTATCCACAGCAGAAGAATATGCAAATATACTGAAATATATACTGCGTCTCTATTCTGTATAAAGAAAGAAGAAAGCGAGCTAAAATTAATTTCTTTTATTCAAACAAAAAACTATTAAAAAAGTTTAAAACGAAATTAATTTTGTTTTTTATGCATAGAAGGAGAAGAAAACAAAAAAAGAAAGAAACATATAAGAAACAAGTTTATACAAGCTCCGCTTGTATATGTGAAACATATGCAGCCACTATGTGTGTATTTCGATGAATTTCAATTAAAAAAAAAGAAAAAAACAAATAAAAGTAAAAACAAAACATAAAACAAAGAAGAAACTCATAAAAAAAAACAAACAGAGCCGCTGGCTGTGGGGGCTCACTTATATATGCTGCCACTAAGCCCCAGCAGCAGCAGCAGCTTTCTTCGTGTTTTCCTGCTGCAGCAACATAGAAATAAAATTTATAATTGAATTGAATTTTAAATTATTTATTTAATTAAAAAAAAGAAAAAAAATAACAATAAAAATGTTCATATAAAACTACGCGGAAAGCTGCTGCTGCCCCCGGCTATATACATACCCCCACAGGTTCAGTACCAGCTCATTCATATATCTAGCGGTTTCTTTGTGTTATATTTTTTTCTTTTTTTTCTTCTTTTATTATTCTTTTTTATTTCTTTATTTAATTTTGTTTTTATTTCTCTTTTTTATTTTCTTTTCTTTCTCATCTCTGCCGAAGCCGCAACCACCCAGACTGGGTTCAGTCTGTCTTCCCCTCCTCGTACAAAACCTCTTATTTTTTCTTTTTTTTTTCTTTTTTTTTTCTTTTTTTTTCTTTTCTCCCATAAATATATTTAATATCCTCCTTGTATCTCTCGTATCTGTGTTC